GGCCCGCGGAGACGTACTCGACGGGGAAGCTCTCACCATGATCCTCAGGTCTCCTTGACCATGAACCGAAGTAACCCTATGACCGGAGGAGCTAGAGTGGGGCATGGCAAGGGGGATACCCCCCCCCCATTTAATGAGGAGGTATCTAGACCGCAACGTCGCGATGGTCATGTTCCCGCACTGAGAACATGACTCATCCATGAATGCTGCTTCAGCGTGCAGTAAGCCCAGGCAGGAGACGCAGCGATCATGACCATCAGATGAAGCCAGGAAGCGACCACATCCAGAAACGCATGAGCGGGAAGCCATCTTTAAAAAGACGCCCGTCGCTCATGAAGCTCTTTTAGAAATGGTCTCTTTTTCGAGAAGGAAAAACACTCTTTTAGAGAGAGCGCTGAAGCGCCCAGGGGAGGTTGCGGCGAGACCGCAGAATGGCAGCTGCAGCTCGCCGAGGTTTCAACACCGAGGTTAACGCCAACGCCAGCTGTTTCTTCCAAACACTCACGGCGATTCGTCCTGAGAAGGCTCGGCTCCGAAGCGAAAAGCTGATGTGTGTTTGCACGCGCTCTCCTTTTATACCCGCGCAGGGGGGGCGGGGTGCGCGTGGCAAAACACGCACGCCAACTGTCATTGGCTTGTTTAGTTTACACTCTAAGGTGATTGGGCTCTCGGGCGAGATCCCAATTCGTCAGTCATGACTGAGAACGTAGAACGTGACTGACTGAAAGGGAACAGAAAATACTCAGCCTAACCATAAAATGAACATTGCAACAATTTGACAATATTCATTCATATACTATTATTAATCTGAATTTCCAAGTTATTTTTTTATATTAAAAATTATACTGGTCATTTTGAATGTGGATGGCTTCTTACCTCTCACTTTCAATGACAGCATTCACTACATCTTTTTTCTCATTACGCACAGCTTCATGTAAAAAAGAGTTGTCAGCATTGTTGAGAGTGATTTCAGCTCCCCTGTCCAATAACAGCAAAACAGCACCTACATGTCCCGCTTGTGCAGCTATGTGAAGGGCTGTTTTCTGTTAAAGCACACACGTTATAAATAAGCAGTTTCATTCAATTATAATCACAAAGGACAATAATTACTTTAAAATTACAGCATAGTAAAATTATTACTTTTACTATAAAAATACATTCTTGAAAAAGACTCTTTCAGCAAGGCTGCATTTCTTTGATCCAAAAACAGTGTAAAGAATAATACTGTGAAATATTATTAAAATGTAAAAAAAAATTATATTTTAATATATTTTAAAATATATGTAGTTTATTCCTTTGATGGTAAAGCTGACTTTTCAGCAGCCATTACTCCAGTCTTCAGAGTAACATGCTTCTTCAGAAATCATTCTAATTATGCTGATTTGGTGCTCAAGTAACATTTATTATTACTATAAATGTTTAAAAACAATTAATATTTGAATATTAAGATTAAGATTTTTGTGGAAACTGTAATGTATTGTTTTTCAGGATCATTTGATGAATAGAAAGTTCAAAAGAACTGCATTTGTGAGACTATGTTAATTTTTGGGGGGATCTTGTTCAGTTTTTTTCCTATGGCTTAGTAATTGTATTTCTCAAACTGATTGTGCTCCACAGTTGTTTAGGATTTTTTACGCTGCTTACCCCATCCTCATTTGTTTCGTCCAGAAGTTTGACATTGGCTGCCAGGAGGATTTTCATTGTCTGTGTGTATCCCTCAGCCGCAGCATGATGTAAACAGGACCAGCCTTTGTAATCACTAGAGATTACAAAAGACCTTATGACAGCTGAATTGTCCAGCTGAATTAACTCACAAGTGTACTTTTTGAAGCTACTAACTTAACAAAAAAATGGGAATATTAGCTTTTGAGATTTTGACGCAATTATTACCTGGTAGGGTTATTATCTTGAACTAAAACTAAAACCATAAAAACTATAAAAACCATAAAATAAACATTACCTGAAAATTTTTTAAACATTTTATTTCAGTTAGTTGCCAAGTGTCACGAATTCAGTCCATGGACTTCTGTTTATTCACCACCAGAGGTCACCCTTTCCATTTCATTGACTCTCGCACTACACAAACTGTTGCATAGCACCCCGGACTACATTTCCCATCATTCTTTGCCTACACCAAGGCAATCATTTCCATTAAATTTAAGTTGAAATACTAAATTAACTAAAAACTAACATCTACATTAGACATAAAAAAACACGCAAGAAAATTATTAAAACTTTAACTGAAATGCAACTATAACAGTAACTCAATGATGCTAAAATAACACCGTATTTATGAAAAACTGCTTGAGATGACTGTGAAAATGTAGATTCCCAGAAAAGTATGATGTACCTTTGAAACAGCGCACCACTCCTGAGCAGCAGCTCCACAACTTGAGTGTGTCCTGCCATTGAAGCAAGATGGAGGGGCGTCAGACCCTTTTCATCCCAATCGTTCAGCATTTTAGAGTCTGTGAGGGTCTCCAGCAGCCTTTTACATGTGTTTGTACGCCCATATCTGACAGAAATTGGAGTAAACACTTAATATTAGCTGGAGTTATAGAGTTATATTTAGAGTGTGTAAGATTTGAAAGCTTGGCGTTATGCTGCATTCATTTGTTTTAAGGCCTGCAAAATTCTCATAAATGGTCAGAACTACCTTTGATATGTTATTATAGGTCAAAACCTATTGCATATATATATAAGAAAATATGCACAAAGATCTGATTTTGAAATAGCTGTGGCTGTATTACAAACGTTCTCACTCTGCAGCGAAGTGAAGCGCTGATTTCTTCTCCCGTGACTTTTGACCCACAAAGATATTAAGACCCAGCATATTTTTGACCGAATCGTGGATGCCAAGTTTGCAGGCGTAGTGCAGAGGAGTGCAGCCTTCAACATCCTCACCAGACAACATCTCCTTCACGGCGTTGCTCTGGAGGAGGCAATGGGCTCTTATAACTATATACAGAACATACGCATGTTTAAAACAGTACATTATGTAATAATCCATAACAAAGGGTCACTTGTACTCTAAGAGTTGTGTTCTGCATCTGACAAACTGAACTTGACATTTAGGAAGGTTTTCACACCTGTAAGACTGTCTCAGGAAGATTTTTCAGCCCTTTTGGTTGAAGAACGACAAAGTGGAGGAAGTTGCGACCTACTTTGTCTTTGATTCTGAAATTGGCACCTTTTTTCAATAAGACAATATGTTAAATATGCAGAAATGTACATGCAAATAATTTTGGAGCTATAACGTGTTGAAAATGTTTACCAATTGACAGCAAAAACGCAACTGTTTTCCAAGCACCGCATCTGGAGGCCATCAGCATAGGAGACAGTCCCTTACAGTCAATGCAGTCAATTTCTGCTTCCTTTCCAAGACAAATGAGATCCAAATGACAGTGAATTAGCAGCTTTATCTAAGGACATATGGTGAGATATTGGACATCAAAGGACATACGATAAGATGATGAGATATTGGGTGCTTAATATTTATCTTTTCAAAAGATAACTCCAAGCTTGGCAGCTTGCTGGTTCACAGAGTGCACATACAGCAGAATAAAGGTTTGAATTCGGATGTTTTAGCTGCTCACATTCTCACAAAGCAGCCATTTAAACATTTACCTTTGAAATAAGATATTCAACCAACTCGACATGATCAATCTTTTCAAAAGATAACTCCAAGCTTGGCAGCTTGCTGGTTCACAGAGTGTTTTAGCTGCTCACATTCTCACAAAGCAGCCATTTAAACATTTACCTTTGAAATAAGATATTCAACCAACTCGACATGATCAAACAACGTGGCTCTATTAGGAAAAAAAAGTGATTGTTAATCATTGAAGCATGGATATTAATCAAACAAATACAGCTGTGAATTGTAATAGGCCAAGCACGCTAATGGCATAACCATTATTAATACATTTGTTTGGTCATAGCAAAAAAGTGCTTTAAAAGTCATATTGTACCAACAAGAATACAAACACATATTTTAAAAATGACAAAAACATTGTACATATTAAACAGCTACACAGTTTGAAATGCTTTCTAGTTTCTACTTTTAGATATTGTTTCCAAATACATACATTTTACAAATTAAAATGTATATAAAGCATATAAATACATATGCAAATAATTATTTACATACGCTCGCATACATACATTATATATATATATATAGTTTAAAAAAAAAATTTAAAAGTCTTATGAAAAAAGACTAAAGAAGGTAAAGAAGTCTCATATTGCAACATTAGCCCGGGGTCGTCTGCCATGGCTCAAGGAATGATCTTTCAGTTAGATTGCTTTAATACGTTTCACCTTCATAATGTTTTCTTGTACTCTGAATAAATTAGGAGTGTGAAATCCAGTGCAGATTTGCTTAAAAGTCCTAGTATGATCCTATAATGTTCTTATATTGTATGTTGCACTCCTAGCACTGAATATGAATAATTTAACAATTTAAAGGACATTTATTTGACTTGTAAGCAGTATACGGTGTGCATTTCTGTAAATAGTTCAGGTCTTTTTAAAGGGATAGTTCAGCCAACAATGAAAATCTTCCCATTTCAGGACTTAAACAACAAAAAATGCCACTGGCTTTTGTGCATCTCCTAATCAAATCAGACACAGAAAGTCTGCATATACAACAGTGTGAATAAGATTTAAGATTTGTGAGTAACTTTTTAAAATGCCCTCAATGTACAGCTTGAAAAGATGTGAAATATAGCATAATTTGGACTTTTATTGTGCTTTTTGAGTTTGATAACCCGTTCACACCAAGGATGATATCTATAACAACTATAACTATGATAACTATAACTTTAAAATAATCGTTCAAATTCTATGACAATAGGGAGGTCCACACTACAACTATAACAATAATGACAATATTGTTGGAATCACTTTTAGACTGTTTTTCCCCCCAGTTGATGAATGGTAAAAACATTGACAGCCAACCAGAATCCACCTGACTTTAAACCAGCAGTATGTAGTTATGTCTATTTTTGTGACTTTAAAGCCCCCTACAGTTAAGTGAGTGGAATTCACTTTTGTAAATATATCACTGTGGTAATTACAGTGGATAGCTGCACACATGCATTTGTTGCTGCCACCCTTGGTTTTTGGAGAGATGTGTGAGAAGAAGATTCCTCTAACATCTCTGATTTGATGACATGCAGTTTCAAAAGTTGTATGAATCTATGAAGGTTATAGTTTAAAAAAAAATTTAAAAGTCTTATGAAAAAAGACTAAAGAAGGTAAAGAAGTCTCATATTGCAACATTAGCCCGGGGTCGTCTGACATGGCTCAAGGAATGATCTTTCAGTTAGATTGCTTTAATACGTTTCACCTTCATAATGTTTTCTTGTACTCTGAATAAATTAGGAGTGTGAAATCCAGTGCAGATTTGCTTAAAAGTCCTAGTATGATCCTATAATGTTCTTATATTGTATGTTGCACTCCTAGCACTGAATATGAATAATTTAACAATTTAAAGGACATTTATTTGACTTGTAAGCAGTATACGGTGTGCATTTCTGTAAATAGTTCAGGTCTTTTTAAAGGGATAGTTCAGCCAACAATGAAAATCTTCCCATTTCAGGACTTAAACAACAAAAAATGCCACTGGCTTTTGTGCATCTCCTAATCAAATCAGACACAGAAAGTCTGCATATACAACAGTGTGAATAAGATTTAAGATTTGTGAGTAACTTTTTAAAATGCCCTCAATGTACAGCTTGAAAAGATGTGAAATATAGCAT